AACGCTGATGTGCAGAAAAGCTTGAAAAAGCATGTTAATCACTATTCCACGTATTCGATGTTGAAAGCCTCAGTGGTCGAACGGTTCAATCGCACGCTCAAGAATGACATATGGAAGATGTTTACGCTCAACGGCAATTACAAGTGGATCGATGAGCTGCCGCGACTCGTGTCAGATTACAACGCGCGCAAGCATCGCACCATTGGCATGCGACCAGCCGAAGTAATTCCCGCGAAAGACTCTTGGACATGGTACAGCGCGATAAAGATCGAGGGTCCTGCAAAATTCAAAGTAGGTGATTCGCATGAGCAAGTACAAGATGATTTTTGAGTAGGGTTACACGCCAAATTGGACCACCGAGATACTTACAATCGTTAAAGTGCAGCGTAACAATCCTGTAACCTATTTACTCGAGGATTATCGAGAAAAATCCATTTGCTGGAGCGTTCTACGAGTACGAGTTGCATCGCGCTATTCATCGGACGTGTATCTCGTGGAGAAAGTACTGCGCAGGAAGGGAAACAAGGTGTACGTCAAGTGGCTGGGATTCGATGGATTGCACAATTCATGGATACACAAAAACAATGTTATTTGATAAAATTTTAATTCATAAATTTTATTTCTACACCTAAAAAATATATCAATATACATAAGTATATAAACGTATATTTTTATTACTTCCATTCATCTTTGTTTTGCAGTATACAGATATAAAACACTCATATAAATGTAGGATACATAAAACGAAAATAATACATAATAAAAGGTACTACATAAAACATAATAATAATATTTATATAAATGTAAAAAAATGCATTACGTGTAAATTATAATGATAATAGTACATAATAGTAACATGTACATTGTAAGAAAATAATAAAAATGTAGAAAAAACATACACGAAGTACAAATTAAGATAATACATAAAGCATAATAGTAATACATATATACTGTATGAAAGTATTTAAAAAAATGTAAAAAACATAATAGTAATATAAATATTGATACATATATATATATATATATGGGAGTACAAATTAGTTCGGTTCGTTTTCCAAAAGATGACTCCGGCTGTTGTGAATATGTGGGAATAAGTGACTCAATGGATAAGTCAGATTCTCTAGACAAGCCTACGCTTGTCGTGTGATGTGATATAGAAAATAATAATCGAGACTTTATTTATAACTGGTAAAAATAATCTTTATTTTACAAGCACAAATTAATATGACCGTACAAGATGAACGCCTTTATCGATCTGTTGATAGAATTTTTTTTTTTATTATTTTTACGCTGCTAGGCAACTTGCTACCTACAAAATCCTTAAACTTTCTACACTCGCTGCGCTAGTGAGGTATTAAGAATTCCCCACATACTCCCCCCCGAGTGACAACGAATCCGGCACTTAGGTCTACCTTATAAAATATATACAACGTGTCATACAAAATATTTTATAAATGTCTGACTAAAGTTAATTACATTTTGTCGTTGGGAAGATTTATTAAAATTATATGGCGAAACCTTCCTCTTCGGGCGCGCATACGTTCTCAAAGTTGATCGCTCGTTGCTGGACGAATTGGCTGCTTGCCCTGCTTCTAGAACCGCACTACACAAATCATCGCGTATGCCATACGCTGGCTTCAAATTCTCAACTGATACACTGCGCTGTGCACCATTAACTTCAATATCGAAAACTCGATCCGAAACACGATTTATAACCTTGTTAGGGCCGGTATAGGGACGCTCTAATGCTCTCTTGGTACCGCCCACCCGTAGAAAAACATGGGAACATGAATATAAATTTTTAAATACGAATGCGCGTTTCTTGTGCTTATGCTCTATTGAGATTGGCTTAACTTTGCGCATATGCTCGCGGAACTCCTCTATGAAAATTTGCGGATTAGGAGTGAAGTCGTCCGGCAGTATAAATTCTCCGGGGACGCGCAGCGTCGTTCCATAAACAAATTCCGCAGGCGATGTCAAGGCGGACATGAGTACGCAGACCTAATAATACGGTCGAAAGTACAATCTTCATTAGCATGACACATAATAACAGCTTTTAAGCTTCTATGCCACCGCTCGATCATACTGTTCGAAGCGGGATGATACGCCGTGGTACGAATTCGTCGACAGCCGATCAGCTGAAGAAGTGCTGTAAAAAGTTGCGCTTCAAACTGGCTACCTTGATCAGTAGTTATCGTTTTGGGTGCTCCAAAATTTGCTACCCAGTTGTCGTAAAACGCGCGTGCCACTGTAATGGCTTCAATGTCTTTCACAGGTATTGCTACTGGCCAACGCGAAAATCTATCAATCATCGTCACACAATATCTGTACCCGTCCGACTCAGGCAAGGAACCTATTAGATCCATGTGAACGTGCTCGAAACGCCCGTCGGGTGCGACAAATTTTTCAGGATGTAATTGAACGTGTCGGATTATTTTTGACTGCTGACAGTCAAGACAATTCTTACACCATTTTGTAATATCACGATGCATGTTAGGCCACACATACCGTTGACGGATTACCCGATCAGTGAGCCTTTAGGGCCCGGATGAGCCGCGTCATGGAACAAATGAAAAACGCGATCTCGTAAAGATGCTGATACATAGGGACGGATTGCCTCGCCGGTCATTTCGCAGTAAAGTGTAGTATGCGTCGGCCTCCATTGAATTCGCTTCATAGAAAGCGGAAAATCAGGAGATTCGCGAATAGACCGTAGTTCCTCGTCTTGATCTTGTTGCTGTGCAAGCTCATTAAGTTCGATCTCGGCAGGTAAACGAATGGCTTCGATGCGGGAAAGGGAATCCGCCACAATATTATCTTTGCCCGATAGGTATTCGATACGCGTAGTGAACTGTAAGATGAACGAAAGTTGTCTCTGTTGCCGAGGTGATGCTTTTTCGGAACGTTGCATAAACGCGTAGATGAGAGGCTTGTGATCGGTCACAATCTTGAAATTTCGCCCTTCGAGGAAATAACGAAAATATTTGATTGCCTCGGCGATCGCCGTAAGCTCCCGATCGTACGCGCTGTAGTTCTGTTGCGCCGAATTTAATTTGCGCGAAAAGAATGCGAGCGGTTTCCATGAGTCGTCTAAACGTTGTTCGAGGGCGGCCCCGATGGCGAAATCTGACGCGTCACAAACGAGACGCGTCTCGGCTGCGTCGGAGGGGTGGGAGA